TTGAATAAATGAAAATTCATATAAACAAAGAAAGCACAATTTCCTATAGTGGACTGGTTTTGGTATCAAAAGGGTCAAGTATGTTGACATCTAGTTAAAGGGAAATTGAGGCAAATCATATAAAGGACACAAAAATGTCTGTACCCTATTTTCTTCTCTGTCTTGAACATCAGGAAAAAAATTAAATCTGTGTATGTGTGTGTGTGCACTTGTGTGTGTACACGTGTATATGTGTGTCTTCTATTCTGTAAGGCAATAAGAACTTGCATCTTCTTACTAATATGATAAATAGTAATTGAACATATTAATAGAAATATTAATTCTGTGTCAGACAGCAAATATTACAGCCATGGTCTTACTTTTATAGTGCTGATTGTCTTGAAGATGATAAAGGCTTTAAGCAAGTAATTAATCACATTATATATGTGTTACAGAAAGAAGATTTTTTCCCCTCTTCATCAGGTCTGAGACTTCCACAAGTGAAAATAATGAACTAGAAAGTAGTATCTTTAGGTTGCTAATAGCTGCGAATTGCGTCTATGAAGGTTGCATAGTCCTTTTTATAATCACCATAAGTTAGAAACAAGGCTGAGAACCTCCTGATGATATTTCTACTAAGGTTATGTGTGTGTTAATGTAGTTGGATCAGGTAGGTGAGTGTATATGAAACTATTCATTTTAGTTTTGCAAACTTGGAAGCTTATGAGAAACTGGCACATGGTCAGGGCATATCTCAGGGAGAATCTAAATGGTCAGAATACAGACCAAAAAAAATGTTCACTAACGTTTCTGGACAAGGCTTGTCTCTATGGAAGTTGAATATATAATCGCACATGCATGCATACATATAGAAGTACATGCACACACACATACAACAAAATAAGGTGATACTTGTAAAGTTATTTCAGTACTCTGGAAGGAGAATGTCATTATGTAGACCCTAAAAAGATAATTCTGGAAATAACTGAGAATAATAGGAGTTTAGTGAGGAAGTATTCAGATGCCCCATGTATACTTTAGAGAGAAGGCTAATCTAGTAAAAAAAAAAAAAAAAAAAAAAAAAAAAGAAAGAAAAGGAGGCGGAGAAGAAAGGGTAACATTAATCTCAGTAAAGTGAAGACAAATATCTCATCATGGCCCATGTCACCATGGGCCAGGTAGATGTTTTCATTTCTCAGAGAAGATTTCCTCAAAGAGTAGAACACAGAAGAGAATGTGTTTGGGATGGCACATCTGAACAAAGGCCATTTGCTTACATAACTAACTTTTTGATTTCACCTATATATACTCCTCCAAAAAAGCAAATGGGTCAAAAAAAATTACACCTATTCAAAGATGCATAATCAAAGATGCACAAAAGAGGGAAATAGAGCAGGGAATAAATCCAATGGAGAATGTAAGCCAACAGTCAGCAAAACTGTCTTTCAGGAGATAGAACAAGCATAAAGCTGTGTCCTCATTAACAATTGAGAGTTTAGCTACAGATCATCATTAAAGGCAATTTTTAAAGAATGCATAGAGGACCATCTGGACATGCCCCTTGAAAGAAGAGCAATTATCTCTATTTTGGTTAAACCTGTTCCTACTTCCACGTATTGATATGTGCACAGCTGGGGAAGTTCTGTCCTTATCCCCTCAATTGGCTTTAAGCATTGCAAATGGGTCTACAGAGGTGCTGATGACCCCAAAACATTGGATACTGCCTCACTGTGTCATGCAAATTACTCTTTCTGCATATTGCAGCGGTGATTTCAGGCCTCCTACCTAGCCCAGCTCACAACATTCACAAACTCCCAGCCACTTTTGCTGCGGCTTATTCCCAAGCCACTCCCCTTTCACAAATTAGTAAAGCCTGGGTTTGGCCCTGGGTGGAGGCCTTTGTTCAGGTTACCATTGTTCAAGCTGGACCTAGGACCCCCTTCACTCCCCACCACTACAAAGATGCCACAGTGTCTTTATTCTCACCATGGGTTGTACTGGAAGTGGTAGATTGGAATTAGTTTATTAGAATTCTAATAACTTTTCCATGGGATTACAAATATAAACTTCTCAGACCAAGACGAGGTCCGGAAAGTGCTTTCTAAGAATGGAATTGGAAAGTAAGGAATGTGATTTCAGGGGAAGGTCTGAGGACAACAGAAGAAAAGGTGGCTAAAATTACAATAGATATGCAAATAATTCTACAGTAATGCTGGATAAAAATTTCTAATTTGGAGAATGAAACAAATTAGACATAATTAAATATTAGACAATCAGACTGGGCAAGTTGAGGTTGGGATGTCCTAAAAGTTAGATTTTTTTTAAGAAGTAAATGTATGGGTAGCTTTAAATTCCTGAGCAATGCATGATAATTTTTCATATGTAACTGTTATTAGAAGAAGAAAGTCAATCAAGTTGGACGAGAGTTCAAAATCAAAGTGAGGGGCTGATCAAAACCTGATGGTGAAGCCAGGCACAGTGGCTGAGGCAGGAGTTAAAGGCCAACCTGAACTACATAGTGAGACCCTATCTTACACAAACAAACACACAAACAAACAACCCTGTGGTGATTTCAGTGACTTGTCATGTTTTTACTGAGCTGACATATAAACATAAATGTCCTCTAACATAGAAAAGAGAAAACATGTGTATCAGGAGAAAACAAGCAAAACAAAACAGCTAAGTGGGTTGATTACCGAAGTGCCAGAATTAAAAGTATAGGGCTTTTAAAGTTCAAAAGACAGAAAAACATCTCCCAGGTGATCAGTAACAATAGTAACAACAATCAGTTGGCATAATTACATTAAAAACAGACAAAACAACAACAAAAACTCAGGCAGTATGTATTTATAGAGGTAAAACTCAAAGTGATCAGGTAGATATATACTTCAAAATAATTCCTTCAGAGTTTCCACAACAATACTTTATAGTGCTACAAAGAGAAACCAACCTGCCTATCTTCTTAGTGGAAGGATTGCTATAGAAATCTCACTTCATAACCATATAGATTTTGAAGATTCAATAAACAAGTGTGATATAAAGAATATATGTAGAAAAATGCATCAAATAATAGAAATTACACATTTTTTCAAGACAAGTATTACTTATGAAAAATTGACCATGTATTTGGATTTCAATATAACTCAAAACTGGTATAAAGACTGTTCTTTCTGACTCCAATGTAGTTAAAAACCTACTAAACCTGATAAGAAAATTCACAGAAAAACTCATGTCCTCAAATTTTAGAAAACATTTCTAATTCACTCACAATAAAATTGAAAAAAAATTTAGAAATAAAGTTTTCAAGAATAAAACATTTTTGTGTAAGTTTAAAGATACTTATCACTCTTATTCTGCTGTCAAAAATAATTCTTAAAATTATTCCAGCCAACAGAAAAATAAATCCTAATTAATAATTAAAAAGTATACACATTGTGTCCTGACAGAACTATTGTTAATAGCTGATAGTTAAAATGAATTTATGCTTAATAATTGCAACCATTCAATTTTTGGGCTATGAGTATCTGTATATTGTTTCATCAGTTCATAAATTTGGAAAAAATTGTAATAATTTAGTTAGTAATACACGCTGTTCTTCTATAGACAGGAAATAGCTAGGTAGTCACTTTTGCTGAAGCCCAAGATAATTATAGTGTTTTTTGGTTAATTGAAGAGGGCTTCCTCAAGACTAAAATGATCCTGGCTTTGATGAGAAGTTAGGAAATCATCGCCCGGGGATTCACAGTGGCAAATATATGGGCTTGCTTATTCAGTGAGTCAGTGAAGCCTCCTGGCCTCAATATGATGCTTTGCCACAGCAGCTGGAGGGAACTATCCCATTTTTTGCCAACTCAATTATAATGCTGTTTCCTGATGCTCCATTTACAGACTTGCTTCCCACCTGGCCCGAGTAGCAGCTGGACACACATGGAGTATGAGGAACATTTCATGGAAAAAGAAAACATTGGTCCAAATGGGTTTCTTAATGACATTATTAATGACATGAGTAGTGTGTTCTTTAACCTCTCTCTCCGGGTCTGTCACCTAATACACATTTTTACATAAAAGGGTATATTAAAAATTTTTCTTTTGGTAAAAAGCCTAGTAGCTGCTTTGATTTTTCAAATGCATAAAGATGTACATAGAGAGAGATAGATGTGTAGATATCTAATTATTACTGTAGAGTGAATTTATAGATACTTACATTTTAATTAGGATTAGGTAACCATGAGTTTAAAGAAGTTACATGTTCAAATTAGCTTTGAAGAATGGAGAGTATCTTCCTTCGCTCTTCTACCCCAAGCAACAGACATACAAGTGTTTGTCAGATAAGAAAGTCAGGGGCCAACTGGGTCACACACTAGGTTTATACAGTGCTTCACTGAGTTTCTAATAAAGAGGAGGGTAGACAGGACAGAGCAGGTGCCCAGCATGGAGCAAAAGAAGAGAAATTAGAACAAATGTTCCTGTCTAGTGGGAACTGGTGCCAATGTGGGGACCAGATGTTAAACATGGTCTACTCCCGTTGAATAAGAATTCCAGTGTGGATTTGTGGGAAAGCTGTCTATAGACTGGTAGCACAAGCTTCTCAACAGAAAAGAGAAGGCACAAAGAAAAATCTACAGGCAAACAAGAGTGAAATTAACTTATGATAGTAATGCACATGAAAGAGAACAATCACGAGACCATAGACGCAATATGATATCCAAACAATCTGTGGGATCAGCCAGCATCAGACAGGAGGGAAGAGAGGGATAAAGGTGGGAGATAGGGACAAGAGTCAGAGACAAAAAGGGACAGATCAGTTCTGCAGGACAGATCTCTCTTCTGGTTTAGACTCTGAGAATACGTACAAACCAGATATCTCTGTTTCAAAACATGATGCAGACTCAACTTTTGAACTCATCCACCATTTAAGTTTCACAATGCCAAGAGTTTCTTTACCTCAGTAATACATTTGAATTGAATTATCCCTGTCTCTATTTAATTAAATACAGGAAGTGTTTCTTTGAATCCCTTACCTGAAGCATGCATCTTCCTGAAATGACACATGATCTGTCTTCTCTTCAAGAGTCAAACTGAACAAGCTTAAACACTTCTACTTCAAGGGAACACAATGTCTCCACTGGAAACTGTTTTTCCAGTTTGGCAGGTTTAGCATGTTTAGGAATCTATTTTTCATCTAACACTGGAGGGTTATATGGGGGAAGAAAAAAGATTTGCACTGACATAGTGAATACAGGATTTATGATATATTAGTTTCTCCCTGCTAAGGAGAATTCATGCCCTAAAAAAGGCTGAGTCTCAATCTATGAACAAAAGCATACTTTTGAAAAAAAATGCATCAAGTGGGCGTATTCTCAAGTTATATTTGCTTATGTTATCATGCTTACGTTGGATATGGGGTGGTTGTGCATGGTGGAATCAGTGTTCTCCATTCCCAAAAGCAGAGGTGGACTTGGGAGCTTGGAATGTCAGGGTATTTCTTTTATTTAAGTAATATCATAAATTGATTTTTTTGTAGTTTAGGAAAAGGTTAAAAATTATTTTCTCAGCCTCAGAACCCATAGTAAATTTCAAAAGAAATCGAAAGAAAAGGAAAGTAAACAAAAAAGACATTTACAGGATTAGCAAGAAGCAAATGTGGTTAGTTTGCCATTGTTTTGTTCCGCTGTTCAGCCATGAGTAGAAACTTTGAAGTAACACAAGAAATTATATAATTGTATCCAGATAAACTACATTTAGGCAGAAATAAGTTTGCTTTATTAAGGGAAATTAATTCAGTCATTTTTGTTACAAAAATATCACAGCTTCCTCTTGTTCTTTTTCTATCTTTTTTTGCCTTCAAATTCAAAATAGCTTTTTTTCCCCCCTAAGACTGATTTCATGGGTGGAATGCAGAAACTAGAATATTCATAATTAACTTTCACTTTCACTGCTGCTTATTTAAATTTTTTAAATGTTCAAGTTAAAATATGTTCATCCTTTTGTGTAACCCATCTCTTATGAGTTACGAAGGTGTGTCAGTTACTATGACAAAATGCATGAGGTAAATCAACTTCTAAGGAGAAAAGTGTCATTTCAGTCCATAGTGGGTTGACCCTATTGCTTCAGGCAGAATATCACGGGGTAGATGATAGAGCAAAACTGCTCACTGCACCATGGCAGAGACTCAAAGACAGAGAGGAAGAGCTAGGCTTCCTGTATGCTTTTCAGGTCACATCCCTGATCACCTAACTTCCTTCCATCTGACCTCATCTTCAGGTTTCTGGCACCTCCTAGTAGTGAGAGGACCTAAGACTAAACTTTGAACACATGGGTCTTGGGGAACATTTCCAAACCAGACTATAGAACTGTGAGAAGTTATTACACAGTAGAAATTCAACCTAGAAACCAAGAGTGATACCACACAGGAAAATGATAGCACTCCTACACTTATAACAGTAATTTGCAATGGTGAACTCCTACCGTCTTGTCTAGTGAAGCTCTGTATTATCTCTACTGCTTTATTGAAGAATTATTTTCTTATTCCCTATAATGGTTTGAGCAATCTTTCATTCTTACATCGGGTATTCTGAGCAATGTAGTTGAGGATAATGATATGTAATATAATAATCACTTTTCATTTGTATTATTTTGTCTTGAGACTCTGTATCACTTTGAATGTTCTTGCTTTGATTTGTTTATGTTTGTGATACTGGTATGCTGTTACTGTTCTATTTCTTTGTCTGTTTCTCATTTAATACTCTCTTTAAAATAAAAAAATAAAATAAAATAAAATAATAATAATTCGATTTCAATTCTTAACTTCAGAAATCTAGGAAAGTAAAGGGCTTTAAAACAATTTTGCTGGTAGTGGTTTTTCCTCCTTACATGTGTAATAAACACTTAAAATTCCTTTAGATTAGTCCCTAAAGTGAGCCACTACTAAGAAAAAATTATCTCTTGAAAAGCTGGAAATTTTTTTCCTACAAATCCCTTATCATATACTGAGATAGTGTTATGTACATTTTTGAGGAGGAGCTAAGAAAGTTGGATTATGTGAACAGAAATAATCTAATCTTGGTAACTGAAAGGTTAGGGTTGGAGAAGTGAGATAGCAATTTTTCATTATCAAGAAAATGTACCAAAATGTACGTCACATACTTTTCTTTGAAAATATTACCTTCAATATCATTGATTTACATGCTTCATATCTATGTTTGCCCATTTTAGTAGAACTTTTCATTAAAAAATAATGTCAAGGGGCCAATTACTCTATTTCTATAATTTACTTTATCGTGGATATGTCCTCTACCTAAATTTAAACAAGAAACATCTTCTCTTCCATTTGGCAGCTTCTACTTAATTTTCAGGTGAATCATTTTAGACAAAATGGAAAACCTTCGACACTGATAATACCAAAACTAGCAATAACAACAAAGAAATAAACAAAACACAAACATATCAACAAAATGAAAAGGCAGTATTTACACTTCCAAATTACTTGATTTTCTGTGTGTTGTGGTGCTGTTGATATTACTTTATCTTATCTATGTATTTTACTGCAACAGACAAAGTTAGAAAGTGTTATGAAGAGTAATTTTGATTGTTTTGATAGATAATCTCCTAAAACTTTCCTGCTCTTTGCATTAAGAAACCAACATTACAAGTAACCTTCTAATTTTACATAGTCTATAATGAATTAAACTTTGTTCAAATTGCCTTTTTCAGAGCAAACATTCCAAGATAAGTTCTTTTTTGTTTGTTTGTTTTTTCCCAGTACTGGGAATCAAACTCACGACCTTACGCTTGCCAGGCAGGCACTGTGCTCCTGAGCTCCCCAGCCCCTCCAAGATAAGTTCTATCTGTTTCCTTGCTAGTCACCCTGTATTCTTGCTCCAGAATTAGCAAAGATTCTTCAAAACTGACCTTGGAGGGAAGATAAGAGTTTGATAATTTTCTTTAAAATGTAATATGAAAAATAGTGCTCCACACCTGAGACTGGTTTCACATATGTTTCTTATACGCTTAGCATTTTCTCTCTCATTCTCTTCCTAATGTTACTCTTCTTTTCTTTTTTAAAGAAGGACCTCAATAATTCATAATTTTTCAAAGAATATCTGCCTGGAGTTTAGCAGCTGTCTAGGGCTGGATATAGTATTTTGAGTAAGATGGATAAATTCCCTTTCTTCTTGAAGATGACAGGTACAGCTTCTTATTTCTAGCCTATCACATAGCAGAGTGAACTGCTTAGCATCAAATGACAGTTTCAGACATGATATAGCTGTTTATATATTACTATTTCAAAAGATGAGACTGGAAAAAAGAAGGAAAATGTCTTGGTCAAGCTATTTGGAAAGTGTTAGTTGCTCTGGTGCTATATTAACATAAATTGTTTTTCCTTTTATTCACTGTAGTTTGAGAGGATGGAACAATGAATCAATACAATATGAAGTCTTTACAAAAATTGACCTTTTAGACTGTCAAAGTAGTGTTTATTTAGATTTAGTAGAGTGTATTGGTCAGTTTTCCCACCCCTGAGACACAATAACTGGAAACCCGTCTAAAGGGAGGTTTAGTTTGCCTCACTGCTTGGGGATTCAGTACATGGTTAGCTGGCTCCAAAGTAGGAACAAAATGGCGGAAGTGTGTGGTGTAAGCTACTTAGTTCATAGCATCCAAGAGGCAGAGCAGGGGAACAGGGCCAGAGAGGAATGGGTGAGGGGACCACATAATAACCAAGGTCACACTCTCATGACACATCCAGACACACACTCAAGACTGTGCTTTACTGATCTGCTAGGCATTTCTTAATCTAGTGAAGTTGACATACTGGGACAAAAGCTTATAAATTATTGGTGGATAATTCTGTATGAAATTAACCCAATCATTTTATTTTAAAAATGTCAGTCAATTAACAACCACGAAAGGCTCATTGAAGGATAAATTTGAGTACACATACGTGATAGAATGCTATTCAGTTTGTAATAAAATGAATGGTGACAGACAATGTTATATTAAGTGAACTAAGCTAGACTTAAAAGACCAAACATACCAGTTATGCTCTCACTTTTGTGAGGAACTTCTTACAAAGTCAAAAAAACAAAAGCAGAAAGTAAAATTGTGGTTACCAGGGGCTGGAATTGGGGACTTTAGGGTGATGTTGGTTAAAGCTTTCAAAATTTCAAGTAAACTGGAGAAACCAATTTAAGCAATGTTTTACACAAGGTAAGGTTAATAACTATTTAGACTGGAAAACTCCTGAGAGTATATTTTGTCCACTCTTATCTCAAATACAGTAAATATGTTGAATGATATAGGTGTTCATTGGTGTCAACATTTAAAAAAGATGCAAATTTATGTCTCCTTAAACACCAAGTGGTATGTGGTTCATTATTTTCCATAGTGTATACATGTGTCATGTAACTATTTAGTGTATACATGTGTCAAAATACACTATTGTGCATCAAAAATGTCTGCAATAAAAAGAGAAGACTGAGCAATCACTTGTCGGTTTTCCTTACTCAGTTGGAATAAAACAATATGTTAATACCCTATGCTCACCTGGGGGTCATGTCCATGAGGACCAGTGGTAAAGGCTCTGTGAGCTCCATCCCAGCCCTGTGCCTAGGCTACAGGCTTCACTGCAAATTCTGAAAACCCAAAGAAGTCACTTTTCAGGTGCAAATGCAGATGAGTCAGTATGAGAATAAGGGTCTACTATTATAAGGTGTTTTTGAACAAATATTGACAGATAGAACCAAAGAGTTTGTGTTGCCTTTGGCTTCTTCTAGTTGCTTTTTTCTCTTCTTTCCTTGCTTACTTGGTTTCTAAAGCAAGACCTCAGTGTCTGTAAGTCACTTCCCTCGGTGTTTGTTAGGTAGTTGTGGCAAAAGGAGGGGTGACAGCTAATTCCCAAATTTCTAACCCTGGGGTTGGTTCTAAAGTTGACTTTCAGCATTCCGATGGTCATCTGTGTCCCTGGATTTGTCAGTTATGCTGTGCTTTATTCCAGCTTGGAGCTCGTATCTCTGGCTCTTCCTGTCACTGTTGTTGAAAAGTATTTTATTCTCTGTGTTAAATCCATCTTTCCTGCT